CGCCGCCGCCGCCGCCACCACAGTCCTGCGGTACGGTCACCATCCGTGTGAGCATAGCGTTATTACCGGGCGTATTCGCGTTATTAGCAGTAGTGCTGGCATTATCGTCACTGTTACTGTTAGTGTTGGCATTATTAGTATTAGCATTATCAGCATTATTAGTAGTATTAGCATTATTACTAGTATTAGTATTAATAGCATCAGTATTGGCATTGTTGGCATTGACTTAGTATCATTAGTATTCGTATTATTACTAGTAGTATCACCAGCATTATTATTGGTATTGACATTATTATTACTAGTATTATTTCTATTATATTACAAGTATTATTATTATTATTATATTACTAGTATTAGTAGTAATAATAATACATTATTATTATTATTACTGCTACTAGTATTAGTATTGTCAGCATTAGTATTGGTTTAGTATCATTAGCATTATTAATAGTATTGGCGTTATTACTAGTATTAGTATCATCAGCATTATTACTATTGGTATTATCAGCGTTACTATTAGTATTGGCTTTATTAGCATTAGTATTAGTGCATTATTAGTAGTAGTATCAGTGTTGTTAGTGCTAGTATCGGTGTTATTGTTAGTATTGGTATTATCAGCATTATTGGTATTGCCATTATTAGTATTAGCATTATCCACATTATTAGTAGTATTCGCATTATCAGCATTTTTATTAGTATCAGCATTGTTAGTAGCATTGGCATTATTAGTATTAGTATCAGCATCATCAGCATTATTATTAGTGTCAGCATTGTTATTATTTATATTAGTATCATCATCAGCATTATTAGTAGCATTACTAGTATTATCATTAATATCATTATCAGCATTATTATTATTATTGTCATGTGCGGTTGCATTCATCGTGGCTTAACGCCAAAGGGCAGAGGTTTCGAGGGGCTTTCTCATCAGGCTCAGTCCCTGCTGGGCTTCCCTACAGAAGCGGGTGCTGAGGGGACCCACTTGGGAAGTTCGGGGGATGCTTTTGTAGGAGAAGACGGGTGAGGGTGATGGGCAGGGGGGGAAGGAGCCCCTCCCAGGCCCTGCTGCCGTCCCCGGAGATAACGGAAGAGGTGTGGAGGTGTCAATAAAGAGCGTGTCTGTGCTGTCGATTGGTTTTGCTGAACAATGCCTGTCATGCCCAGCTCCAGCCTGCGTGCTCTGTGTTTGCCCTATTGCGATGTGCGGGGGGGTTGCGTTGTGCGGGAAGGGATGAAGGTCTGATGTAGTCCATTTGTAAAGGATAATGGCGAACAAAAAAAGGTGTCAGCTCTCAGCAATCAGCTGTTTAGGAGGATTTCCTGCAGTCCAGCTAGCATCTAGTGCCAGGCTGTGAATTCTGGGGCAATGCGTTTTGCTGGAGGACGAGGTCAAGATTCAGGAAAATGAAGGCAGAACAAAGTACCCCGAGAGATGTTAGAATCTCACATCTCTAAATGCCAGGAGAGCAGTTGGAAACTCGTTCCATTTTGCCTAATTCTTGGAGCATGTGTGACGTTGTCATCAGACCCACTTAATTTCAGAGGCTAAAATATTTAGACAGCAGTGGCAAAAGGTGCAGCTTTATCCTTTATCTGGATTTTTGTGGGTTTAAGGCAGAATTTCACATCCTGTGTAGGTTAGTCTTTTAAGTTCATTTTCAAGATTTCAGTGTAAAGGACAGTCATAATCTCTTAATTGTCCACGCACTTTCAGTGATAAACATAGTAATAGTTTGGGGCTGCAGTCTGTTTCTTGGAAATATATAAAAATCTTTTCCTCTGACAAGTACACTCCATGCTTTCTACATTAGGCTTGCTCCTTGAGTTCTTGATTCTTGGCAGTGATGGTCTTTTTTGAAAAGCACTGACACTTTTATCTGAAAACAAATGCATAAAAGAATTAACTTGGCTTTGCCGTCATATATGGGGGGCAGGGCGGAATCTAATTTTGGGGCAGGAAATTGCAACAGTGTGCGTTCATTAGAAGTCAGACTTTATAGTAAAAGATATTTTTCACAAAGATGCTTGTTTTCAGCTCGTGTTTGAATGCAAAAGCAGCTAGTTTTTATGATGGATGCTACTGACTCGCTTTCAAAAGCTCCTTTCAAGCTTTTATCCTTCTGAAGCTAACTATAATCCTTATACAAAACTTCATGTGAGGAAAGTGAAAGACTGTAGGATTGCAGATTGACTGTAGCTCATGGAACAGCAATGGGCATTAATATTAACCTTCGATTTACTTCTCTGACAGATTAGAGCCTACTTCTTTTTAGCAGTGTTATACTACAGTTATTCTCTGGTCTTTTTGCAACAAACAGTTGTGTTGCTTGGATTGTCAGCACTGAATACACATCCAGAGGTGACGTTTGATCCTTAAACCGTCTTACTAGACAGGAGGATGCCAGCAGCTGAGCTGTTCATTAATATTTGAAAATATTTTGAGGGTCCTAAGATAATTACAGTTTTTCAGGAAAAATGATCCTCTCCACTCAGTGGCAGGGATCTGTATTAGATTTTCCACAGAATATCTCCATCTGCATCATCGTAGGTTCGACACAAACAGTGAGTCAAATGAAATCAGAGCTTTGTTGGGAATATTTTGATTTCAGAGGTTATTTCCCAGATGCCATGCATCTGGACACCATGCCCAAACCATACAGGAGACGCATGAATCTCGCCTGCCACAATTCTGACTCTTCCCATCGTCGGCAGGGAGGCCTTGCTGCTGGCCTGTCTTGGTAGGACACAAGAGATGCTCCATTTCTCAGATCCCCTTGACAGGTGTTGCAGAGATGCGTGCCGTCAGGACGCGTGATCAGCAGTATGCCCCCTGGCCTGGTGATGACATGCCCCTGTTTGTACAGTCTGTAGAAGCCAGAAATCTGGGTTCTGCTTGTCCATTTGCTGTTGACCAAAATATGGGACTACGTGATGCTGCTGCTGCTAATTTTTTCCATGGTTTGGTCTTTGTTTTTAAATTTGTTAAGAATCCTTCTGCATCGTTCCTTAAAGAAAGCAAGCAACTGCATGAACTGGATACCTAGATGAGATGAAACGTATTTCAAGAAAATGTTTTCCCTTTCCTGAAGATGCTGCATATTCAAAAATGTGGGTCCAGTCCTGCAGTACCTAGAGTGCATCTTCTTCCATCCTTCACTCTTTCACCTATAGAAAGCTTGTGACGAATTCTAGAGGAAATAGTGATAATACCATAGGAGGCCCTTAGAGCAGGCTCTTTAGTCTCTCAGCACTTTCATAACAGACTGGTCTGTCTTTGAATCAACTTTACAATAACCAAAAGATGAATTTTAGCTAGTGTCCATGGTATAATGAGTTAATTAAAGAAACGCGTATCTCATGTTTGCATTTTTTTGGAAACAAGTCAAGCCCTGGCAGAGAGTAGTGTTTAAATTATACCTTTGATCGCCCTGTAAACAGCAGCTCACTGGTGCCTAGTTACTCAATATTCTCCTTTACAGCTCCTCTGTCTTAGTGCAGAACTCACTGCAAAGGGCAAGGAAACGCTGGGGGATGTGGTTCTCCTGTAAAGGCAGTTGCACTTTAATCAGAGATGTGAATTTCCAACTGTACTCTTTCATGTGCAGTGGGCTCCACGTGCTTGCTTATTAATTTGTTGTATAGAAGAGCTTATGTTATTTCATGGGAACATCACCTCTGTGGAAGTATAGCTTGGAAAGATGCATGATGGGGTAACATATACACATGGTTTTAAAAGCTGGATGGTATTTTAGAATGAGCTACAGCTGTTGAGTGGATGGAGCGTGTGCTTTACTTCCACTTATCTGGCTTTTCAGGAACAGCAAAGCAATTGATTCTGAATGCTGGATACCTTAACTAAATGCTTTAAAAATAACTGCTCACCAAAATCACTATTAGAATTGCAAGGCTAAGCTGCTCAACAAAGTCGTGTGGGTATAGATGTCTTTTGGCCAAACCTTTCTGAAGTTCAGCACGTAACTTTTGATTAGAACATCTCTAGCTGATGGCTGGCTGCCTTTTTCAAACCACTACTACCAAACTCCTGGCTTGCTTACTAGCATGGGGGATTTAAGAACCCCAAAATGAGGAGATGTAAAGATGTCATGGCTGGAGTCAGATTTTAGAGGATTGAGATAAAAGAAGTGAAGCCATTTGATTAGAATTTTTATCAGCCCAGTCTATGCCCTGACTATGCGCGGGGCTCACACTTCTGTAGTTCAGAACAGGCCCTTCAGTAAG